ACTGTCAATGGAAGAAAGAATGTAAAAAAAAAAAAAAGGAAAAAAAAAAACAACAAAACAACTTTCTGGTGTCAGTGAATTATTCTGAACAATGAGAGCTTTAGATTTTCAGGAAAAGTTAGAAGTAATTGTTGCAGGTGCTAGAGGATAAGTAAGCTAAATGTTAGGCCAAAAAAGTTAGGTTTCTTTGGATAGAATTATTTCAGTGCTATGAGATGATCGCCTTTGGCTTTACTGGGCAATAAATCCTATCCACCCATACATACTGAAGGGGCAGAAAAAGCTTTTACACAAAGACCCACCTATCATGTTGTAACTTGTGTTGGTTCCAACAGTTCATGTTTCAGCCAATTCAGCCTCTCTCTCTCTGTGAATAATCTATGTGTGGCATTGCAGAGATTAGATTTTTTTCTCACATTGGGGACAGTTTGCTCAAGCTGAGACCATCATCTTACATCACACAGGCCATTGGCAGGGCACAGCTCTCAGTTCAGTGTTGAGCTTCTTGGGTGGGTTGCATGAAATCTGATTGATCTTACCATAAGCACTGTGGGTTAGCAGAGGAAGACCACAGCTCCTGAAACTCTCTGCAGCGTCTTTTAATGCTCAGTTCACCTCTGGAACAGTTAAATATTATACTGTTCTCCTGACTTAGGTATTGAGACAGTAGATTCCTATAAATGAAGGATAACAATATAGCTAACTACCCATAGAAATAGATGACCTGTCTCCCTTTCTTTGTCAGAATTATTCTAGATGGTATCGTGGAGTCCTTTATTTATTCAAGGCTTAAACATTCCAGGAGTCCACTGTTCCCTTGGGAGATTATTTCACAGCTCAGTGCACCTGTGTCAGGAAGGATTCCTTACAGCTTGGTCTGACTCTGTTTTTAATAAAGTCAGACTATTGTAATGACAGGAGGAGTGTCCACCTTTTTCCTGTTTTTTGCCAGGACAGGGTTCATTTTTTTAAAGCAGCCAGTAAGAGCCATGGCTAGGACACTGGGGTCTTTCTGTAACTCCTCACATCATTTCCAGGGGAAGGCAAAAGGGACCCCTGCTTCAAAGGAGAAGGGGTTCCTTCTGGTCAAAAAAAATCATGGCATCTGGTATTGTTTATTGTCTCAGGCTCTGTGGTGAGCATTTCTACATGTGAATCACTCTCTCTTTTGTGTACTTTTATTATTAATTTTGTTGTTGTTACTGTTCATTTTCTTATCTCATTGTTGTTTCCACTATATTGTTCTTATCTCAGCCTAAGAACTTTGTCTTTTTTACCACCAACTGGAGAGCAGGTAGGGGAAGCTTCACATGGGGTTTTTTATTGGGAATACTAAATTGAAGAATATAATTCCTAAACCATGACAACCTTACACTGAAAAAAACTATGCAAGTGTATTGAATTTCCTGCAGTGTCTTGAATTTGATTCAAAAGATAGTGCCACCATTCCATATGAACCTCACTCACTCACGCGGTCTCCCAGGTCCTGACTGTTCTGAGTTTCTCTAAAGCACTTTCCTCTTTGAAATTACTGTTCAGTAAGCTATATCAAATATATTTCCCTTATGTTTATAAGTTCAACAAATGGTGCATATATTCCTGTAGACATAATGCTTGGTTTCATATTTATGGGATTGTTTTAAAGTTTCCATTTTAAAGTTATAACCAGCTCAATAAATGGCCGCATTTATCTAACAAATGAACTGAGTTCAAAAAATAATACAAATCTTCACAGGTTTAGAAATTATTTTCTTTTGAAACATTTTGGAACATTTTACTGACTCTCTGGAAAACAATAATTAAACTCATCAGCAAGCTAGAAAAATATTCCTGGATGTAGCTTTCGGACATCTGTGTTTTGTCTATGCGTCCATCCTTCTGAATTTTTCTGTCCCATTCCTCTACACTGGTCCTTGGCCACCCCCTTGGGGAATAAGCAGGGCTTTTCCACCTGGGGAAACATGGGTCCCTATTTGTATGCACCTTCCAGAGCAGCTGGAGCTGCCAACACTGTGGCTGCATGAGGACTCACGGTCACTTTGGATGTTGTGGGTTTGGCCGTGCAGCCTGACCTTCACCCCATCGCTGGCAGTGGGGGATGGAGTGGCCAAGCTGACTGTGCCTGCAGGCTCCCACAGGGCAGAGGTAACACTGAGGTCCTGGCAGGCTCTTTGTGAAGAATGTCACAGCTTAGAACTGAAGTAGGGGTAAGGAGGTTTGTGATCCCTGTTCTTTCCGTATGGGAAGAATGAGGTCAGGCATTGCCTCCTCTCGGTATAGTATACATACATTTTTTTCAGCAACTTGTCCTAATCTTCAAAGTTGAAACTTGGACAAAACAAAAGCAATTTTTCTTAGTCAATATCCTTCTAAGAATTTAGTCTGCAACATGAACACCTTCCCAAAGGATCCCTTGTTACCAGCAGTCCATGATGACAATCTGATGATCTCTCACTCCGAGATCAAGGATGGTTTGGTGACAGCAAATTATTTTTGCACTTGGCCTTACGCATCAAACTGGAAAATCTCCTGCATTTGGAAGAGCACGTCAGTGACTCTCATTTACCAGTCTCTGTGTTAGAAGAGGGAACTCTTCTGATTAAAAAATGACCAGTGGGTAGCATTCCTGATTTAAATTGCAATTTCAAACAGGTGCATTTCTAGTTCCTTCCTTGCAGCTAAGATGGTTGATTTTGTTAGGTTATGTGATGAAGGCTGGCTTCTGCATGCACACACACAGAAGCACAGAAGAATAACAGTGGATAGAGGAACTCCAGAGATATTTCCAGGGTATTCCCAGGCACTTTACAGAGGCTCTGGGCCTGCAGAGCTGCTTGCACATCCCAGCGGCAGCAGGATCAGAGCCCACTGGGTGGACTGGGCCTAAGTTCAGCTGCTGGAGGGATCCCCACTTCATAAATGCATATGTGTGTATTTCCCACTAATACATCAATCAGCCAGAAAGGGGAACAGGATGAGACCATTGGGGCTTGCTGCGGTTTGTCTGGCAGTGTATTTATGTGTATGGGCGCTGTATATGTCTGTCTGTCTGTGCCCATTGGAAACTCATGCTGCTTGTTAGCCATGGGAGCAGAGCTGCAGTTGCCTTCTGCTGTTGGGCTGCTGGATTCAGCAATATAAACCAGGTTTTGTTCTGAATTTTTCTTGTGTGAAATCCATGTCTATTAGTGCATTTGCTTTGCTAGATTCAAGCAATTTCAAAAACATTTATTAATTTGTGTGCGTTTGCCATCCATGTTAAATGTTCTTTTGTGGCGTTATTCCTGGCAGTCTTACTAAAGTGAAGAGCCAAATACAAGTGAATTGAGCTACTACAGAAATGGCCTTAGGGGCTCTTTATCCATTGATCAAAACAATTTGTACAGGTAAAGCCCAGCTGCTGGCACAATACCTGACAGCTTTGGGAGCAAGAAAGCTGGTCTTTAATTGCAAGAGTTGTACACAAAATCTTAAAAATACAAAGATGTCCCACTGAAATAACTGAAGCCACTCACACATTTCGCTGCTTTGTGCTTGTAAGAACCAGCTTTTTACCATATGGGTCTTTTGATTACCACTGAATACATGTAATTTCTCCACCTCTCTATCAAATTACTGTATTTGCATAATTTCAAATATGTTTCCTTGGGAGGGAGAGCAGGTTATGTATTGTATTAAATTGTTGATGAGTTGTTGGCTGTGCATGTTCTCTAGGTTGGCTTTTACTCCTACATTCAAAGCCCAGTTACTCCTCTTCCCTGCAGCACCTGCAGCACTAATGACCAGCAATAGTGAGTTCTGCACCTGGAGATTCCCCACTTCACAACCTCTAGAAAAATATGTGTTAAGACTAAGTTAACAAACTTTTCAGACTCTGTAGGTAGCCCAGCACCTAAAAGCCAGTGCATCCCCCTTAAGAATTTGAGAGTTTTAATTGTAAAATCTTTTAAATATGTGAATAATATTGTCTCCTGCAAAAATTATATATGGAGGAAATGAAGCTAGCAAGCTTTTTGAAAATAAATGGTTGATTATCTTGCTCACTATCTTGTCACAATGCCATGCTTTCTACTTTTTCTGACCCCTCAGGGAGACAGGAGAGCAGTGCAAAGAAACATGAAATCGCAGATACATGAGTTTCCCTCATGATCTGAGTCTGCTGTTCATTCACTATGGCCTTGTTCTTCAGAAGAGTCCTGCTGAAACAATAGTGCTTGATCAAGCTCAGACTGGCAGAGCTGGGATCAGTGCTGGGAGTTTGTCACCAGTGCAGTCTGATTTTCACCTGGTACTGTCTCTTAAAATTCTTTTCCAGCTGAAGCAACTCAAAATCAAATTCCCACAAATCATTGGTGGCATAAGAAAATGTTGACTGTTTTGCATAACAATATTGTGTTTAAATGTCCATTTAGAGGATGAAGTAATTAGTATTCTATTTGTACATCTTAAATCCAGATAAAATATTTAGGACAGCAGAGTGCTTCATCTCTGTTCTTGAAGGACTGTTTGTGGTTTTGAAGTGAACAAACACCAAACTATTTTGCTGTGTTCCAAGAGGGGGAAAAAAAACCCCAAAAAACAACACCACCACACCCAGATTGTGGGGTTTTTTCCCACTCTAGGCAGGGCTGATGTTCAGTGTCTTCTTTTCACTGTGTCAATAACTATCACTGATGAAATTTTGTACCAGATCTCCCTTTACCCTTTGGAGCCCAGTACCCACAGCAACCTCCCATGTCTCCCAGCCTGGCACAGACCCTTGGTGGATGTGGGTGCCAGAACCAGCTGATGGGACCACCAGCTGCCTCACCCTGCTCCAGCTGCACCTATGGGAGGAGGCAGCCGCAGAGGGAAGGAAGCAGAAGTTCCTCCCCATGCCACTCCTCCCCTCTGCTGTGGAGCTTCCGAGCACAGCATGCACCAGGCTGAGAGTGTTGCTGCCTTGAGAGCTTCTCACTGGTGTTTACGTGCCAAACCCACATGCTGCAGTGCTGCGGACCATGGCCTCTACCCTGCAGAAGTTCATTCATTCTCTGGACCTCAGAGCCCTTCCCAGGGTCCTCCAAATCCAGTCAGGCATCTATTGTCAAGGTGAGCATCAAATGTTTTCTGGCAGAGCTTTGCAAGCCTGTATTTGACATCAGGTCCCTCTTCAGACTGGAGTGTAGAATAGGGGGAGGCATAGGAAGGATGCTCATGGAGTTGTCTCCTAGAAGTTTCCCACAGCTGGGTGCTTTATCAAAGGCTTTGGAAATGCCTTTGGTGCAGCGTGCACTTGGTCTTCTCACTGGCAGTGAAAAAGAAACTAGTTAGTCCTTATCATATCCTGGAAAGAGTACTGGACTAAGACATGAATTTGCTTTGCACTAACACAGAGCCATCAATCCAGCAACTGCAAATCACCTCACAGAGGTTAATTTATTTAACTCCTCTTGGACTTCTGGGGCTGCCGTGGAGAAGTCTCTTCTGTCTCAGAAATAAAGAACCAGGGAGTCTGGAAAATGACCATGAAGGACCATAAGATTTTCCTGAAATTCTATCCTGTATTTGGGGGGCACTTCAAGTGTGCAACCATGCAAAGGAGTTGGTATGAGCTGGACAGGAGAAACATAGGGGTAATATTTTACTGGATTTTTCTGCTGCCGATCTATTGTTATGATGTTTTTAGTGCTCTGCTTGTGCACAAAGCACACTCGAAAGGTTGTGTCGAAGAGACTCGCATTAGTGGGAAAAATCTGCTCTTGGTTTGGGCATGGACTTAGTCCAATGACAGTGAAGATATCATGTCAAGCCCATGTATCAGTCTAGAAAAAGTTGCTTCCATGCCACTGAGAGGGAAAAACTCAGGTTCAACTGATAAAACAGAAAGGGTTTCGTGAAATGAACTGAAGTCTGCTTCAGCTTCAGCCAAACACACGCTTTGGGATCCACAACATCTATCTTTACATCAATCTAAGTATTTCCATGCTGCACCACAGAAGGAGAGAGGAGGTGGCCAGAGCCCAATTGGCAATCAGCAGCTGTGGCCAGAGTGGGTGATTTTTCCCTCCATGACAACAGCCTCTTTGGGCAGAAAGGAAATGGGAAAGGGCATACTGAATTTGTGATGGTAGAGTACTGCCCATGTGCTCCTGATTGCTCATCCTGGCTGCCCTGGAAACTACCTATGAATAATAACTGATATATAGAAAAAGTGTTCTGGGGAATAAACTTAGCTAAAATAACAAGAAACTTTTGAAAATACTGTTATTCTGAACTTTGCTATGTGGCCTGTTCAAGTTTTATCTTTTAAACTATACATATATACACACATGTATATATACAAAATGCTATGATAAAATGATGGTAGCCCAGCTGTCTGCAGGTTTCTGAGTTCATGCAGTCTGCATCCTAATGATCATGAATGGTAAAACTTATACCAGTACATTTTTGTAGCCAGAGTATTTAAGTTGGTGATTCTCCATGCAGTCTAAACCCTTTAATTTTCCTGAGGAGAAAAACACTGGTGAGTAAGCACACAGACCACTATGCAGCAATTCCTCACATGTGAAAGAAAAATCTCTTAGTTGTTGATTAGCCTTGGGAGGAGTTGGTATGGGCTCCTGAGAATATTAGCACTAAAAAGTGATAGCCCTTGTAGTGCTCCAGTGCTTTTTTGGCCTTCAGCAACACTACCTCTTCCTGTCCTCTGCTCCTGGTGGCTTCTCAGCTGTTCTCATACGTGTCCCCCCAGCGCAGCAGCTGCAGCACCGACAGCCATGCATGAGTCTCTTGTTTATACAACAAGCAAGACTGATCTATTCTGCTTGGCTTCTTGCCATCATATCCCAAAAAAATACTTGCAAGTACCTAGGAACACTGGTGTCCTGTAGTAGGCTTCTGTGTGTTCCTCTTCTTCCCTGTTTCAGAGGAAGATTGAGATGCTCAGGACACTTGGTGCCTGATAGGTTTGCAGGATCTAGGGCTACAAAAGGCCTTCTCAGGCCAGGCCCTCACTCCCTTTCTCTCCCTTCTTCCCTGAGCTCTCTGTCTGTGTCAGATCTTTCCTGAATATTTTCCTTCCTTCTGTACCTGGCAGTTGGGGTGAACACATTGTTCTGTGATTGCATTATGATTTATGTCACATTTTCTGTTGAAAGACTAGTACTTCAAAGAGAGTCTGGAGTAACTCCTGTTATATTGCTAAACAGGAGAACAGGCCACTTTGAGCACTTCAAGTCTCCATCAGGACAACCACTCTTTAGTCCTTCCTCAGGCAGATCCCTCTGCCCCTGCACCAACCCTTTTGATCTCTCTGACCCCATGCAGTCCACCAGCAATCACGGTGTGGGTAATGGCAGGTCTGTTGGCAGGGAACGTGGGTTTATTGCTCTGGCTGCTGGGACCAAATCTGAGCATTTGTGCACTGATTGTAATAGCTCCCAAATGGCTACACAGGCAGCCCACTCAGCTAAGTGCTTTTGTGGAAGGGGACTTCATAGAAATCTGTAACCATTCTCAGCACAACCTGCAGATAGTAAGGGAGAAGATCAATTATTAAAGCATTACATGTGATCGTTTGAAACTTATCAATCACCAGGGGTACTTAATTTTCCTGTGTAAGAATTCTAAATAGGAAGAATTTTTATATATGTAAATATTAATGTATATTTCCCCCTTCAGAACCCCCCTCAAAAAGGGCAAGTTTTCTTAACATAGCATAGGCAGGTACATAGAATGGCTAATGGAGTAAATGATGGTCTATTACATCGATTAGAGCTGTCACCTCAAAGCTGTAGCAGCCAACCAAAGAAGGCTACAGCAAGATACTTGATAATAAGACAACACGGTGTAATTGATTCACTGCTCTTCTCTGGTGCTCTGTGTGCTGTAGAGATGAAACTCTCCATTTACTCTATTGGAAGTAGCATTTTCCACACACTGCACTTAGGTCTAATGATTTTATAAATATAGGACTTGCAAACTAGCCTTACAGCTCTTGACAGATTTTCAGTACCTCTGGAAGCATAAGGAAAGTTTAATGCTCTGTGAGGATGAATGTTTTCCATGTGGTGAGGTATTTTTATTAGAAGCTGCAAAGTCAAGCTCCAGGGAGAGAGTGGGAATTTACTTGCCTTTGGCAAGGTAACATCTCTGAAAGAATCCATTCTGCTTTTTTATACATATTACACCAAATACAATCTAGGTCTCTCCTTTCAGACCCAAGCCTGCCTGCTACTGTTCCCAGTGGAGAGCAAGTAGAAAACATATGCTGTGTGCACTCATTCTACCATTAGTCTCTCTACTGGCCTATAAAAAAATTATGTTTCTGCTGATACTACTGGAATGTGATGTATTTAACTGTAGTTCCCCAAACTGCAAATGGACACAACTTTATAGACCCTGCTTCCACATGGAATACTTTCAGCTAGAAAAGCTCTGGGCAACTGAACTTTTGCTGTTGGTAGTGAATACTATGTTTAAGACACTTTTCTCAGGAAGTTCTGTTGCTTTTTATCTCTCTGTTCTGGGCATGAAGAAGAGGAAAGCATTTTCCTTGAATTATATCAGAGATTTGAATGCTACACTTGGACTTTGGGTTGGTTGAAGCCTTACCAATTTGCCTCTAGGCAGAACAGTCAAGGGTGGAGACTCTTGTTCACACTTCCATGTTTCTATTCTGCTTTGGCTCCAGCTGTGTGGGGCTGCACAGTCTGAGACCCAACCTGCAGCCATGTCCTACCCCTGTCTGCCACTTTCTAGAGTCAGAAATGTGGGATGTAAGTAAGAGCCCTGAGTTCTTCCAAAATGCTTTTCATCATCATCAAAAGTCCATCCAGAAGCAGAGAAACTACTGTCATCCCTGGTTTGAAAACAGAAACACAGATGAAAGGAGATGGTAGTTCTGCAAATGCCAGGGATGCCTGTCAGGGCAGTTGCTCTGGACTCTGCAGTTGTAATGTCCTTGCTGCAGAAACTGGACTGCACTGTTGAATCTCTGAAGGGAATAGGAAGGAAGATTATAAAATGAAAGCAAGTCTGCCAGATACAGATAACTTGGTAATCAGCACTGATTAGAAAGGAACTACGGTGCAGACTGAAGTACATGATAATTTAATAGCTCATTAAAATAGGTTTTTAAAAAATTAAATTGCTGAAACTCCATTGGGAACTCAAAAAAATCAAATATCTTTCTTTGAACATTTTAGTAAATATTGATACTTAGTGAGGTAAGTACTGTCTGACCACTGATTTTTACAGATAGCAGGAAAGTGTAGGCTTTCATTTTTATGTTGCAAAAATTCTGTCTATTTTAATACTAATATAATTATTTTATTGGTAGTTGAATTTAATATTTTGCAGGCTTAATTAATTAACCAGTGGCAAAACAGTAAAAGTGCCAATTTTAATTGTGAAAAATGAAGAACCTCTCAAGGCACCTCTTCTGTTGATGTTTGTTGTCATTAGCCTACCCACAGTCTTCTCATTCTTGCCCCACCTAAACACATGCATTGTTAATGGTATTCCCCCATTTCTTCAGGGGTTGAAACTTGCCAGAGCTTGGAGAGAGTTTGTAGCTCTGCTCTGCAGTTCAGTTATTTGAAAGCAGCATGTGTGTTATGTAAATTGCAGTTCCAGGACATACCCTCTTTTACAACAGGCCTGTGAAACACATCAGGAAACTCTGAGCTCCTTCTCTGAGGAGAAGGGAACTCCAAGCCAGCAGTCTCCATCTCTGCAGCCTGGGTATGCAGGGAGGCAGTGTGCTGTAGCTGTGGTACTCCAGCCTCTGGGATTCAGGAAAGTGCTGGATCTGTGCAGGGAGGACATACTGGGAAGAGGCAACTGTAGGGTCACAAGTATATCCTTGGTTAATGTCCTTCCAGACTTAAGGGATCTAAAGATTCTTAGAATTGGCAGGTTGGGATTCCTCCTCTGGGCTGATGTTTGGTGCTCTCTGACAGCTGCACCAAACATCTGAGGATTGCTGAGAGACAATGCCAAACAAAACCCTTGGGTGAATAGATCCATTTCAAAACTCATTTTGGTCAACTCTAAACAACGTGACTCATGGTTGCGCTTGCTGGCTGCGAATCCACATTCACTCGCTG